CCCCACGGGGTAGAACCAGCCTGAGAGCAGAGGGAAGATGAAAGTACACATTTCCCTCTGCTGATGGCCAATTACAGGGCCGACCTGTTGACAGCTGACGAGTCTGGTTCAGACATTGCAGCTCCAGCTGGGGTTTGGATTCTTTCAAACAATCCACACATAAGGAAAGGAAAATACCCACGTGATTTTCTCTGACACTTTCCCCAAGTTCCTTTCCCATTATTATCGTTACACATTCCAGAAAGAAAAACATTGAATTGAGCATTACATACATTCCTCTCTGGAAGAAAACTAAGTGTGTGGATTTTATCATTAAAGTCCCTGTATACCAACTTACTTGGTAACCCTAGAAAATCTAGAAAAATTCCATGCCCTCCTTCCTCTGGCTGTAAATAGAGTTAATACATTGACTTCAAAGGCTGCTAACTCTAGCATGGCTTTCATTTTCCTTGTTGATTATTGGATGGTCAAGAAAGATTCTCTTAAGTAAAAACCAGAGAGCTGGGATGTCACTTGGGTCCTGGCAGGAAGCAGAAGGCACATTCAAAATGGGTGACTGAAGAGAGTTCATTAACAGATGATTTACAGAGATGTGGGTAAAACCACTAGGGATGAGGAAGCACCCCAGGGCTAACAACAGCACTGTGGCCTTTCCCATCCCCAGGCCTGAAAGGGCAAGAAGAGAAAGTGGTTTTAGGAATCTGGTGAGACCTGTCATTGTGGGAGCTGTGGTCTTCAGTAAGGAGTGCAGCTACCTCCAACCCACATCCCAGCAGAGAGAGATGGGGAGTAAGTACCCCAGCCTCATTCTCTCTGCCCCTGACCTCCTGCTGGGCCTCCCTTTCAGTGCATCCAACAGGAAACCAGAGGGCAAGAGAGCCCAGCCAGTGCAGTCCATAAAGGTCAACCTCCCAGGGCACAGAACAGGGTGGAGAAAGGCAGAGTGGATCCAGGGGACAAAAGGAGAATACTCCCCAGAGCTGGACAAACAGCCCCATAGTCCACCCTAAAATAACAAATCCCCATATAGTCATCTACAGTGCACTCACTTCCTTCACAGTGTGTTATCATTTGAATAACTGGGAACACCTATGCATAGTCCAATTTATTATCACTGCTCTTATTGAAGCTAGAAAATTGTATTGCCCTTAGATGTCAGAGTTGGAGCAAACCAAACTATTCAGCCACTGTGAGACCTTGAAGCCCTTATCAGGCTGCCTCCACCTTTGGTGACTGCCCCACTGTAACACAAGAGGCCCCCACTGGAAATTCCAACAGCATAACTACAGTTGCTCTGCCTGCTCACTGTTGATTTTCCTCTCTCCTCAGCTCCTGCAGGGTGGAATGTCAGCTAAATGGCAGGGAGCCTGCTCACCAAGGGGCTGGCTGATTGCTTTGGAAACCCAGCCCTCTCCTGGAATTTAATAAAAACCACCCCCAAACACTCAGACACAGGGTGGGGGCACTGGTTCTTTAAATGATGCTTTTCTTTAAGGGGGGAAAAATCTATCTATGCCAGTAAGAAAAAGGAGAGAAAGARTCTAGTTTTACAAAGATAGAAGAAAACAATGTTTTTCATTTGCAAACTGGCTAATTTCATTCCCTTGCACAAAACTCTTTGATGGCTATCACTGCAGAGGGAATGAAGTTCAAGTGCTTTTGCCTGAGAGCTAGCTTCAGSTTTTTCTACCAAACTCTCATTATTCTCCTTCAATTACCCTTCTTTTCATCCAACTGGGTAAYCTGGAGGACATTTTCTATGCGATTCCAGGTATACTCCCAGACACAGCTTTTCCACACTGTAGGCCAGTGGATTCCTGGCAAAGGTGATCCTGTTCCTCAGGATACATTGGCCATGTCTGGAGATGCTTTTGCTATGCTGAGGCAGGTGATGCTCCTGGGAAGAGTCCAGTGCCCAGGACCCCCTCCCCCACAACAGCAGTTATGCAGTATTTTAGTCAGTGTTTTCACTGCTGTGACCAAAACACTTGACAAGAACAATGTAAAGGAGRAAAAGTTGATTTGGCGCTCACAGTTTTGGAGGTCTTAGTCCAAAAGATGGCAGAATCCATTGCTCTGGGCCTGAGATGAGGCAGCACATCATGGCAGAAGGGTGTGGAGAAGGAAAGTAGTCCAGGACATGACAATCAGGAAGCAAAGAGAGAGCTCTGCTCACCAGTCACAAAATACACACCCAAAAGGCRCACGCCCAATGACCCACCTCTTCCAGCCACACCCTACTGCCTACCACCTAGTTCATTCTTATCAGAGGATTAATGCAGGATTAGGTTAAATCTCTAATAACCTAATCGTTTCACCTCTAAACTTTCTTGCATTGTCTCGCACCTGAGCTTTTGTRGGACACCTAATATCCAAACATGCTGCTCAAAGAGTCAGTTGTGCTGAGGTGGCGAAGTCCTGTTGGAAACTATGCCCAATTATTATTCAACTCTTCACACTGAAATCTCATCTATTCATCAGTGTCAAAGCGCTCACTGTCCAATCCAGTGGCCACTTCTCACATGTGGCTTTTAAGTACTTAAAATGTAGCTTGTCCAAACTCAGATGTGCTGTGTTGAACTACTGGTCAGGTTTCTAAGGGTTGGTATAAAAAATGGAGTGTTGACTGTTTCATTAATTTTTATATGGATTATACATTGGGATGATAATATTTTGAATATTCTGCTTAAATATAATGCATCATTGTGATTAAATTTACCTATTTCTTTTTACTTTATTAATGTGGCTACTAGAAAAGTTTAAATTACATATATGGCACAATTATATTTCTATTAACACTGGTCTAGACAGAGATTGGCAAAAATTTTGTCAAGGGCCAGACAGAAAATATTTTAGGCTTTGCAGGCCACATACTRTCTCTGCCACATGTTTTTCTCTTCTTCTTTGTCATCTTTATTTCTTCCTCCTCCTTTTAAAAATATAAATCTTTTAGAAATTAAAGCACTTTTAAACCTTTAAAAAACATAAAACCTCTTTAAAATATAAAATCTTCTTGAGATATAAAAACCATTCTTAACTCAAGGGGTAAGAAGTAGACCTTGGCCCCAGAGATAGCAGGTGGCCATGGCTGTGGACCTATGGAGGTCAGTGAGATCCAGAAGCCACCCTCCCTGCCCTCCTTTCATAGTGGACTTTCTTGGACTTCCCTACACCCTTCCTTCTACAAATTCTAGTATCTGCATCTCAGCCCTTTCTAAATCCTTGRCTCCTAGAGAGTTGATATCGTCTTTCCCAAATGTGGATCCTCCAGTGACTGGCTTGGTGCCTCATGCCCAGCATGGCCCAGTGAGAGAGGTAGCAGCATACAGCGGGGAGGAGCCCAGGCCACTTGGAGGTCTTGGCCCTGCCCTCCTTGACCTTCCACTTTCTTTTTCTCTAAGTGGAGCAAATGAGGAACCTAACTCAGACAGTGAGTGTGAAGATTAAAGCCAAAATAAACAACAGAGTCCTTGGCCCTCTGCTCGGAGCATTGCCGTGCATCTCATTATATCATTATCACGTGTATGAGATTAATTATTGCAATTATGAAAACATTTGTTGAGTTATAGAGATGAAAGGAATGTGAAGATGATTCTTATTATTCTCCATGTTGTTAATGATTGTTCTTAAAAACCCAACTTTTTACTGAATTACCTTATAAAGCCTGTAGAATTATGCTCTTCTATTTCCAAATATTTGATTGTTTTTCCAGGGAGTTATATCCATACATAAATGAGTATATGTTGGCAGCTCAGAATTAACAGGGTATTTTTTTTAACTTCTAAATTCCTTTCAAATGGGAACGAAGTGTTCTCCTGACCCTTCCTACACTCCATATTACTGTCGACATCTGCAACTAATTGATGATCTATAAGTCAAAACTGTGACCAATGCAAAAAACCTTTAGCTAAGCCCGCCTCGGCTTGGCTGACCCTCCTTAATATATTTCAGATTAAGACTAAAAAAGGCACCTTTTAACTGTCCAACCGAGCACCAAACAGTAGCCACGAGTATTTATCAAACATCAAATAATAACATGATCAGATAACATGCTTACCAGTGAAAATCTAATTTAGAGCTTTTTAAAAGTTTCATTTAAATTTTTAAACCCAGAGACATTTTTGAGRGGTATAGAGAAATATATTGTCAGCATACAATTTAATTGATTAAAGTAACTCTTTATGTCAACAAAATCAAATTATGACCATCTGAATACCTTTGTAGTAAATCAATGACATTAAAAAAAGAAACCCACAAGAAAAGCCAGCATGGTATTCTGGTAAAGGATTTGGGACCTCCTCAAGCCTGTTTCCTCATCTGGGAAATGGGGGCAAGAAGAAGCTTCCTTACATAGGCATCCTTGTTAAGAATTAAGTAGGATTCAGTTAAAGGGAAATGGAAACTATGTTTCAAATACCAGTAACAAAAGGGGGACAAAATGTATAGTCTAGACTTAAAGTAACAATATCTTTTAAAATTAAATTAAATAGAGGTAGTAGAGCCTGGCTCTTTGTGTTTACCAACTGGCCTCATCTGTATTCTTCAGAACAGTCAAATAAATAAACCTGGAGCCAACTTCACAGCTTGTTGCTAATCACCAACTGCATTGAACTGGGGGCTCACACACCATGATTTGTTTCATCAGGCCAATGTCTTAGTTCTAGGGCCAGTCCTCCCCAGGAACAGTCACAGATACCTTATCTAAGTTTTGGTTTTATTCTTCCAGAGGATGCTTCTCTTTCTGAGATGTACCATGGGATAGTCTGCATGTTGTCACGCCACCCTAAACACATGCTCCCCAAATTGGTAAAACTCTATCCAGACATTTTCATGAGATGTGATGAAGAAATAGAAATTTCACTTCAGAAATATAATTGTTTATTTAAAAACCAGATTTGATATAAAAGATCTGTATTTTAAAATTATCAGTAGCCTTGAGAATGATGGTTGGATTTTAGATTTTTTTATTAATTTGTTGTTTTTAGATATACATGACAGTAGGGTATATTTTGACATATTATAGACTTTCTTTTTTCTTGACATCTGCACATCTCTAGCTCTGGGTCAGGTTGTAGACAMCTTTTTCCATTCCAGGTGCCACTTCTCAGTGCTGGATGGCTAACCTATAAAATGAGGTGGGAGACACAAGATCCTCAGAGCCAAGCATATAGTCAGAGTGGCCGTATTCACCCCAAAGGGGTAAATTCCTTGGGCTGGATGACTGACATGTGTTAGTTTCCCTTKACCTTTAGGGTTCTGAACTGGTTCAGAGTTCAGGAGTGTACCAACCACCAGTCCACATTAAAGCCCTTCAGGCAGCTAGGCCAGCTCTGACTGAAGGCCAGGCCACCAAGAAGCCCTGAATGCCATACTCTGGATGCATTTGGAAGAAAAATGGTTTTCCTACACTTGAAGCTACCGATGGTTTGGCCTGTCCCCCTTCTGTGGTCAGGATAGGGGCAATCAAATATCAATAGTGACTGGCACCTCCATCTCCCCTCCTACCCAAGCACACACTGAAGCAGGGAAAGARAAAAAGGTGGCTATTGACTAAGTACCTCCATGGTGCTTAGTACTTTGTATATATTGTCTCATTTAATCCACCTCTGGAGTTAGGTGTTTTTATCCCCATGGAATAGCTGAGAAAGTTCAGAGATCTTAAGTCAGTTGACTGAGGTCCTGTACATAGATCATAAGCCACAGAGACCAACCCAAGTTTGACCAGTACATTCAGATTCACCCCCAAGAGGRGGTGTGCTAAGATTGTCCCATAAATCCCAGACCTGACAGAGGGTCACCTCTATCAGGGTCATTGTGACCATCTTTTTTCCAATGCTGAACACACACACATACACACACAGAGTAGAGGATGCCAGGGGGATATGGCTGCTTTGATCTGCTCCAGGTTCCTAATTCAGAGCCCTGGAGTCCTCCGCTCGGCTTGAATTCATCCTGAGCCGAGGGCTGGCCAGGTCTCAGAAACGCAGGGCCGTCCATCACATGTGTCTCAGGCTTGCTCCTCAGAGAGCCCGAGTCGACCACAACCGCCTTGGCCCCGTTCCACTGTGAGGGAGTCACAAAACTGGCATTTAAGTCCAGAGCGGAAAAAACACCCCAAGCTTGTTCGTTTTTCTGACAGGTGCTGGAGCCCATGAAAGGTCAGATTCCAGCGCACAGTCACATCCTGGCTTAGCCGGCTCCAGGCACACAAAGGCCTGTCTGTCTCTCCAGAGCGCGGGGAGCAGGGACTGAGGCCAAGGGCTTAAAATGGCCGCCCGATGGCCCGCTCCTGCTGATCCATTCCTTCACGGACATTGGCCTAAATGAAGCATTGGGAAGCCCAGCTGCCAAAGATGTGTGAAACAGGCAGAATGAAGAAGAATGCAGGCTTTTTCTTCTGTGTAATTGCCAGAGATATTAACCCCCCGGCAGCCCATGAATCCAGGCCCTGACTTGGCCTGCTGTGGCTCATTTGTAAGAGCCCTGGGACACTTGTGTTTCATGTTCAAAGCCTTGCTGGGCTGGAAAATTGAGTGAGAGCTGTCCCTCCAAGCCCTCTGCAAGGATTGCGGGAAATGAAGGAGTTTGTTCTCTTCCTCACCGATGCATCCGGGAGTGCTCAGGGCCGCAGTGTTGTTGGAACAGAGGGTGTGTGTTTGAATGCACGTAGCCACATGCCTTCAACCAGGAACGTTTATTTTTGCAGCCTTTATGAAAACATCCCCCCGATTCAAAATGGCTCCAAGGACCCACGGTCCTGTATTTGAAGTTCCTTACCACCAGCGGTAGGCTGAAGTTCTTTCCCTATCTCTAACCTTCTCCAAAGGAGCTCTAATGACCTTTCTAGTCACATGACTCCTTTCCCTCTCCTCCCCAGCTAACTTTGCACCAAACAGTGAGGCTGCYAGCAGGCAGGTAGTTACAGTAGCTACTGCACATCATCCTTGGGAAGATGATCTTGATCTTACAGTAAGAAGTGTAATTGAAACTTCTTTTAAATAGCAAGCTCAGAGTCCCAATAATTTTTTTTTTAACCTGCCTATTCGGGCAAATGTTTTTTTAAAAGTCATTTTAGAGTCATTTCTTTTCCTACCACTTGAAAAGTTTCATCCTGACAAGGAACTTTCTCAGGGAGCTAAGCCACAGGCTGGAAACCGAGGCCTGGCCACTCATTCCAGCTGTGTCCTGGGGTCAACATGTTCATATTCAGAGCACCTGGAAGCCTCAGATTTCTAAGAGGGTGAGCACCACAAAAGACTGACAGCAGAGCTCTCATTGGGCCATCTCTCCATGTGTCTTGAAAGTGTCCCCAAACTCTAAAAGTTCTATCCTTGCCACATTCCATTGGTAAGACTCGTAAGTTCCACCAAAGTGTTAACTCAGTGAATTTTGGCTAGTAGCCTATGTGAAAAGGTAAGGTATCCTTGGGGCCTGTCACATGGTCACTTCATGATTAAGTCTCCCCTTCTCTTATCAAGAGACACAGACACTTTCCTAGTAAGCATGTTGATGGCTGCCCCCATTATGTGCACACATAGCTAAGCTCTTTTCAGGCACGGCCATTAATTTTYCCATCACTTTATGAAGTAGATATGTTTTATTCCATTTTATAGAAAAGGAGCCTAAGGCTCAGAGAGGCCACCTGATAAGGTTAAGTCAGCACACAAATCTTTACCAAATCAGACTCCAAAGACTGTGCTATTAGCTACAATGYCTCGCAACCTAAGGGGGCTATTAAGAATAAATAATTTCTGATAATCTTTTTAAATAGTAGGAAACATTTTGGTGAAAATGACTACCACTTATCAGTATGTGCTGGGCACTATTAGGAGCATTGTGTAAATCTCTTATAACATTCCTTCAGGGTAGATATTCACGTTCCCATTTTATATGTTAATGGCTTGATAGACACAAAAGACAAAACCAAACTCCCAGCTTCATTCAAGAGTAAGAGACTTTTTCAGCTCAACCACATACAACATAAATTTGGCAGCAAAAAACTCAGGGCTAAGTTGTGCTGTCGTTGTTTACAATGAATCAAAAGGCATTCTGCTGTCATCTCTACCTAATTAGAATAAATAGATGAATTCGTTAAAAAATTCAAGGCTACATTGCTCTTATTTATTATTATCAGAAATCATAACTATGGCGTTTCTTGAGCATAGAATGCCACATCACGTAGGGCTCCTTTCTTGGTAGGCTCATTGTCCCATGTGGGGGATGTCAGCTTTCCAAAAAATGTGATTCCTGGGATTTCCAGACGGCCTGGGGCTTCATATGTGTGTGTATGTGTGTGCGCGTGTGTGTTTGCACATATCCCGCTATGTATGTCTGTCAAACTGCAGGGAGCTTTCCCTCATTTAAACAGCCAATTAAAACCCACTTTGGCACTTAACACACGTCACTGCTTCTCAGTGCTCAGCTGCCTTCCTGGCAGGCCTTTAATTTGATAAAGAGCTTCTAATAGTGACTAACAGAGGCCCAGTAAGTTAATTAAACCCTGCCCTTTATTTTGCTTTCAAGGTGTGCCCTCCTCATAAAAAGCCCAAGGTTTGTGCTCGCAAATGACTTTAGACAATGTTCCATGCTTCAATGGGAAAAGTATGTCTGTCATGTCCTGGCAAGTTACAAGTAAAGTCTCAATTTCAGCACCATGTCAGACTTTCACCGAGGCCAGAAGCAGATGGGGAAAAAAAAAAAACCCTCTGCACCCAAGAGTATGGAGGCCAGAGTTAGAAATGGAAGATGAGTTTCCTCTGAGAGTATTATGCTGAAAGATGGCCTGGCTGTCATATCAAACTCCATTATCCCATTTCTTTAAAGTAATCTGAGAGTCCAGATGGGTTGTATAAACAGAAGAGGAGGTTCCTGCGAGTTCACTCTCTTAATGAAGCCCGTATGTTTGACTCATGTAATAAGTATTTAATCATGCTGATGAAATTCATTTAAACTTCAGCCACACACACTGTTGCCGAAGCCCTGATAAGGCCCTACATCACTTGAGTCAGCAACAGCGGAACCAGGTAGGTGAGGCCGAAAGTGGATGGCATCTCGCAGGGAAGTGGGCTTTGGAGGGCACCACATGGAAAAGATAATGAGCCCTGAAAAGCTGGCTTGTAGACCACTGTCTCTGAGTCCTTGCCATGGTATGCCACATCTGTCATGATAAGATGCTGAAGATATAACAGATCAGAAGGTACATTAGAAACAAAGTTTCTGCTGCATGGAATAGCAACCCCAATAAACCAGCTTGAACAATCTGGAGGTCTTCTGAATACAAAGCAAAAGTCCTAATATATAGGGCCGCAAAGCTGGCTCATTCAGAGCTTTCCCCACCTCTGTTCTGCACTCCGAGGTATGTGCAGTTGTCCTCAGGCCAGCTGCCTCCATGATCACAAGATACGCCAGCCAGTACCACATTACAGTCAATAATGGCAGTGGAAGAAGAGAGCCATTCATTCCTTCATTGATAAAAAATCTTTTCTTAAAGTGTCTCAGTCCCACTCCTGAACATTTTCTGTTCAAAAGTCAATTCCTGGCAGTGGGATGGGATCACCATGATTGACTCTTTATCTCTGAGTGGCAATAGGGCAGTGTCAGACTGGAGCCAGCACATACCAGCTGGAGAAAGCTGATAGTGCACATCTCTTCCCAGTTCTGCCTTAGTGACCTCATGGTGGTGGCTTTAAAGTGGCCATGGTTGGACTGTTTACACCACAGGGATTGTCAAATACTACATATCAAGGTTTGGTTTTGTTTCCTGAAGATCCAAGTGATAAGCATTTACCAGTGCAGCACTGTGACAGGGTCACCTTGCTTATAGTTGGAGCCAGAATAAAATTGGAGTGCTTGTAGCTAGGAAGAAAAGTTAAGTGAGCTCAGAATGAGCAATCCACAATATCTGCCTGAGAAGGGCTTGGGTTGCCCACTGGTTTTTCTCTGGGAAAACATAGCACTCAGAGAATAAGGAAGATTGAAATAACTTATAAACAGTAGGGAAAAAAAGTGGCTTTAGAACTATCCTAAAAGAACCTGCTCAGGTAGGAAGCAATTGTTTCATTGATTGGCTTCATTTTTCTGCAGAAAATTTAAAAACTTCTCTAAGAGAGATCTTGGTTTTCTTTTAGTTAAAATGGCTTTCACATTGCTATGCATTATAATCAACTAGAGTCTACTAACACGGCAGGCTTCTGGGATGTTCCTCTAGCAATCTAGCTCAGCAGGCTGGAGTAGGGCCCAAGACCCTGCACCTTTAACAGTCACCTTCCCCACCCCAGAGTGACCTAAATGTGAGTTATCTGAGAAGCACATTCATAAAGAAAAAGAAAATGCTTCCCTCATGGGCCTAACCCAGAGGTTGGCAAACTAGTCCATGAGCTAAGAATGGTTTTTATGTTTGTAATGGTTAAAAATACCAAAAGAATACTATTTTGTCATATTAAAATAATTTGAAATTCAAACTGCTGTGTCTATAAATAAAGTTTTATCGGAACACAACCACACTCGTTTGTTTACATAATGTCTGTGGCTGCCTTGGTACTATAATGACAGAGTTGAGTAGTTGCAACAGAGATCATACGACCTGCAAAGCCTAAAATATTTACCATCTGGCCTTTCTGGAGAAAGTTTGCCAAGCCCTGGTCTAACATGTTTCCTTCAATTGAAGAACTAATGGCATGGAGAAGACTTGGTCTCCCAGTTCTCTAGCAGAAGGATCCCAACGTTAGGCACATGCCAGGGGCTGCATCAGACACCTTGCAGCCTGGGTGTCAGTCTGAAACTCTGATGCCTTTGGCTCAAGGACTGACAGTCATGGCAAACTGTCTCTGTCTCGGTCTGTGACACAGCCCTGGAGAGATGGATTTTGGAGATGCTAATGGTGTCTTTCCAACCCATCCCAAACCGGTAACCATCATGCCATTACCCATGGAACCTCTACTCTCTCCACACCTGTCTTTGTCCATTTTCTGTTGCTATAACAGACTACTAGAGATTGGGTAATTTATTTTAAAAGAGATTTACTTAACTCACAGTTCTGGAAGCTGAGAAGCTCAAGGTCACTGGCCACATCTGGTAAGGTCCTCATGCTACATCCCAGCATTACTGATGGCATCACATGGCAACAGCACGTGCAAATGCAGCAAAAGAGGAGAAACAACCTTGGTATGGAACAATCCCTTCTCGTGGTAACTAATACAGTCCCACAAGAATAAGAACCCGACAAGACAGCATTGTTCTCTGCATGAAAACAGATCACTGGTGACTTGAACACCTCTCAAAGGTCCCACTCCTTCTTAACATTGGGACATTGAAAGTCAAGATTCAACGTGAGTTTCAGAGGGGACAAATCACGTAACACAGTGAGGTCAGAAGAGAAAGTGGCTACACACTCACTCAACACATGGCTTCCCTTCTCCCAGAACTTATATTTCAGCTGAGAAGGAAACACAGAAGACTTCTAGGCAGGGCAAAGATAGCAGTAGTTCCATTTCAAGCTGTGGGACTTGGGCAAAATCAACACTTAACCATCCTAGGTCAAGGCTCTTGAAGTCAGGGTTCTCCACAAAAGAGGGACACCCCAAACCCCACAAAAGAACAACTTCCAAGGCTGCTGGCCTTGACTAATGGCTCTGCAAGGTTCCATTCAAACAGTATTGTTGACAGAATGCTGCTGATGAGGACACAGAATGTGAACCTTAGGAAGAGGGGGACGAAGAAGAGGGCACTACACAAGGATGAGGGATGAACACACAGGAAGGTGATATGGGGAAGGATCTTAAGAGGAAGTGTAGGTTGGGTGAAGAGACCCTTGCTAGGGTTGCATCATGGTAGTTAGGCTACACAGATCGGGTCGTATTATAGAGGATGCAGGGCCAGAGTCCAAAATGTATACTTAATTCCAAAGGAAAAGGAAAGCCAGGGTTGGGTTTTTAATGTAAATTTTTCATTTAAAAACATATTTTTTAAAAAGCACAAAAAAAGTAAATTTCTATTAAGTGAGTCCATCCATCTAACAATGCTTCTATATCTGCATTGCTCCATTCAGGCATCTCCTCCTGGCATATAATTAGCAGTAACAATAATCAGATGACTTACATTTATATGAACTGTCATTATTTAAAAATCATATTTACATGAATTATTTAAGTTTTCCAGTGTCACTTGACGGGTATTATTACTATCGTCCTCATTTTACAAAGGCAAAAGCAACAAGATGTTAAGTCTATTAAGTAGAAGAAATTGCGGGGCTGGGGATGTGGCTCAAGCGATAGGGCACTCGCCTGGCATGCGTGCGGCCCGGGTTCGATCCTCAGCACCACATACCAACAAAGATGTTGTGTCCGCCGAAAACTAAAAAATAAATATTAAAATTTTWAAAAAAGTACAAGAAATTGTATTCTAACATTTATATCCTCACTCCATTATTGGTTCAGTCATTAAAATGATGCTTTAGATATATAATTTTTCATATAGAAACATGGCCAAAGTATATTATGGTGTTTAAGAAAATAGACCAGAGAAGAGTCAGATAATCTGTATTTTAAGGAAAATATCATGGAGTGGAAAACCAGAGTCAGGCCATCTGTGTACAAACCCTAGTTCTGACATTTACTGGTTATATGACCTTGGACAAGTCACACAAATTCTGGAAACTTTACTTTTCCCCTCTGCAAAATAGGTATAATATCTCATGTGGCTGCAATGCAGATTAATCAGAAAATCTACATGTGGTAGCAGAATAATGACACCCCTGAAAAGATACCTATGTCTTTGGGATCCTGCTGTCAAGCCCTCCTCTCAGCCATGTCAATCCAGGTGAGCTGAGAGGTGTATTCGGAGCCTTTTGGGAGCAGAGGAAACCATTTACAGTTGGTGGCTGCCTTAGACAGGTGCCAGGAATTGGAAGGGTTGATGATATTTCTGCTTTGTCCCAAACCATATTCTGGAAAAGTTAAATTGTTTTATCTAAATGGCCTGGATTCAACTGCTGTTTGAAATTTTTACTAATTCACTTAGTGCCCCTTAAATATCTGGATTCTCAACTACCGTCTTGGAAGGAGGCAGTATAATTTCCTTACTGAGCACATGAGCATTGAAATCACATGTCCAACTTTAAGCTCTCCCAATTACCAGTGATCTGATCTTAGTTAACCTTCCAAAAGTCCAGTTAGCTCTTCTGTAAAAGTCATATGATGATGTGTTCCTGACAGGTTTTGAGAGGATTCAATGAGAAGATGCCAAGCACTCAGCACAGTACCTGACAGTAAGCACTCCAAAGTGGTAACACACAGTCCCAGTTGCCCACAATGTGCCATCTCTCCAAGACAAAGGACTGCTACAACCACCACTGCAGCCATTCTCTCCTCTGCCACTGTTATGAGGCCCAAAGCATTCACAGGCTCAGTGCAGACTTGAGCACACACAGGTCTGGGAGGCCACAGAAGACCAGTGAGATGGCAGCCATGTGCAGCAGCCTGGCAAACTCAGAGAAGTATCCCTGGCATCCCAGGGTCCTGACATCTCCTACTGCTGGCTGCCACATGTGGAGCTGAAACATAAGCAGCCTGGCTTCCATCATTTCCCTGAGGAGAATGCCAAGGGGCTGCCGTGGGTGAGATTGGGTAGGCTTGGTGTGAGCTACCACTCTTCCTCCTCGTCACTAGTGAATGGCAGGGGGGAAGGGGCCTAGACTCACTGGGGGATTGGTCAAGGTGTCCTGCCCATGATTTTTCCATAGTTATCTACCTGATAACTGCCCAAGCACTCCCTGGGTCTTTGAGTGAGTTAAAGTTCTTGGCCAAGAACCCCTGGCTTTCACAGCTGGCAAAGCTGGGTGAACCCCTCCTGCTCTATCTTGGCTGTTTCTCTGCCACYGCCCAGACCCCAAGGACACCATTGCTTTGATGTAACACAAGAACAATGCAGGGCACCAGGATCCCAAAGACATAGGCATCTTTTCAGAACAACAGAGAGGTGAGTGGCCACTTTCTCATTTTCTTGAGGCAAAGAGATGACTTTGAAAAAAGTTCAAGGACCTTCATTGTATAACACAAACAAAGTGGGTCAAGGCATTGGCTACTTTGTAGCTGATCTACTCCTATGGAAGGAAGCCCCCTAGAGTCTGGTGGCAAGAAATCAAGATAAGACGGAGTGTTGGAAGGAAGGAAAGAAGGGAGTGGAGAAAGGAAGGAAAGAAAATTTGACCTTGTAGTTATTAAATCAGGTTTATTTCAGAGGGGCAACTAGCAAAGCCCTAGCAAGAGCACCACGGTGGGTACTGTGACCCAGGAACCACATAAAGTACTGAAGGTGCCAGAAGAATGCATATGGCTCATGACCAACAGCCACCCCTCCCAACCCCCGACAGCAGGTGCAGGGAGGAGAAGGGACAACTGGAGCCTCTTTGTCTTTGTCATCTTAGACTATAGTGCCCACAAATGATGTGAAGCCCATTTGTTCTGGGAGGGAGGGAAAGAGGAGAAAAGGAAAAAAAGATTAGCTTACTCTGGCTCCATAGATCAATGGAAAGGAACGACCTTTCCGGGAAGTCGGAGCTCCTACCTGGAATCACCCTGACGGTGAACCTGGGTGTCCTAAGTCACCAGGGTTCTGCCAACAGCAGCCCCACCCACTGTCCCAGGGCAAAGGTGGGGGTTGTTTTGCTGGGAGCTGAGACCGGGTACTTTCCCAGAGGACTGGGGGCAGGCATCTGCCAGACCAGGGACACAGGCCCATTTTGTGTGCTGCCCCTTGGGTGTGATTGGGAAGAGAGAACAGTAGTGGATGGCTGTCCCTGGACTAGGCTAAGGCCTGGCATAGCTGGAATGTCCTTGGCCAGCTCTTTGTGAGCAGAGTCAGTCAGCAGATGAGTCTCATGATCAGATGACTTGGGCTTGCTGGAGTATTTTCCCCAGGTTTCAGAATCATATGAGGTAATTGGAGTGTCCTCGCTGTCCTTGTTAGATCCCTCAGGTAGCTCTCTCAGTTCTAATTGGTCAGCTGGTACTGAATTTGTTTAGCCCAAGTAGGCATGCCCAAGTGGTCGATGTGCCAAGGTGGAATTATAATAGTTTACCACATTCTCCCATCTGTCACAGAACAGGACACATACACAAAAAAAGAACAGCGGGTGTCCCTTTTACCACCCCAGGTGGACTTCACATATTCTTGGCCCCCACCCTTTACTACCATCAGAACCACATCCCTGTTCACATACCTGCCATGGTCTTTTAAAAGGCTCTACTCCAATGTCCTTACTTCTGGAAAGTGTTCCATGACATCTCCCACCACCTCATGTCACCAAATACCAGAGGACCAATAAGAACTCTTCTTTCCTGCATTTGTTTAATAAACAACAATTAGGCTCCTGTCTGTGCCAGACGGTGTCCATACAGAAGAAACAAAGACTCGTGCAGTCCCTGTCCTCACAGGGCTTGCTTGCTTGTGGATTAGAGAATTCATTTAGATACAAAAAAATAAGATGGCCATGTTCAGTAAGTGTTTTGAAGGAGGTAAACAAGAAGATGGGAGAAAATAAAAAGGACCAAAATGAAGAAGCTACTGTAGAGGGGCTGACAAAGGTCTCCTTGACGAAATGACATTTCAGCAGAAACTGGAAGATGAGAGGAGATGGCTATGCATGGTGCAGAGGAGACATATGCGCAGAGAGAAGGGACAAACTCCACTGTGATTGGAAGACAGGCTCAGATTGCACAGGGTGGAGAGGTCACCCTGTGGGGAAGATGGAGAAGAAGTTGGGTGTTAGCTCCTGCTCAGGGTGCTCCAATAATTTGTTTTAACTCTCTCTCATTAGATGTGCTTCTGACTTCTTCCCATTAGTTTAGTTCCCTACCTTCCAAGTTGGGTGCAGATCCTTTAAGGGCAGGATTATCTTTGGCACCATGAGTTGTGGGTGGATGGGATGCACAGTTGGTCCCTGACCACCTGAGTATATTTCACATCTGTCTGCCCACTCCCCTTTCCCTCCTCTTCCAAAGTTGTGGAAGAAGTCCTAGTTGGCTCCTCTTGAGGGAGAAAGGGGATGCCGAGCCAAGTGGTCAGAGGAACTGGCCTGACCTTCGTCCTAAGATAACCTTGGCACCTGAGATACAAAGTTCACAGGCCTGGAAGTGCTTCAGGCTCTGAGAGACTGTCCAGCTGCTGGAAGTGCCAAGGGTGTTCAGTGAGACTGAGCACCTTTTATGGGCTCATACATGTTTTGCACACATGCCTGAAAATTGTGATCACTTTCTCCCTATTGTGTAGAAATTGTTACCTTCTATAAAAGCTCATAAAAATGAATCAAGTTAGGGGCTGAGGTTGTGGTTCAGTGGTAGAGCACTCACCTAGCATGTTCGAGGCACTGGGTTTGATCCTCAGCACCACATAATAGTAAATAAATTAAAAAAAGGTATCATGTCCATCTATAACTAAAAAATAAATAGTTAAAAAAAATGAATCAAGTAATAGCTGCTCATTCAATACACATGATCTGGTCTGCGGCAACAAGCACTGATTGGGCGTACACTTTTCTTTTTCAGTTAATAAACATGTTTCCACATCAGGCACAGGGATGTCAGGAAGAACAATATAGCCCCTGCCTTCAGAGAGCTTATAGTCTAGTTAGAAAAAAAATAGATTTATAAACAAATAAATAGGGCTGGGGATGTGGCTCAAGCGGTAGCGCGCTCGCCTAGCATGCGTGCGGCCCGGGTTCGATCCTCAGCACCACATACCAACAAAGATGTTGTGTCTGCCGAGAACTAAGAAAAAATAAATAAATGTTAAAATTCTCTCTGTGTCCTCCTCTCTCTCACTCTCTCTTAAAAAAAATAAAATAAACAAATAAATAATACAAAGTATTCTATGATGTAGACACCAGTTCAGTTTACACAAAAAGTGATTAATTTCACCTGGGGAGGAAAGAGAGAGGGTGGCATTTGAAAGTTTTCTATTTGTTAGAAAGAGATACTCACTGATGAGACAGAGGACATAAAGAGCCCTTCAGGTACAGGAAGCAGCATCAGCAAAGGGGCAAAGATGTCGGAAACCTAAGTTGCATTAACTATAAAAATATTTGACAAAGTTCAAGAGTCAGAGATTGGAGAAGAGGGGAAGTAGGTAGTGGGATTTGTGTGCTGGACTTAAGAACTTGGACCTGACCGTTTTGGCATAGGACAGGGGATGGTAAGGTCATGTTTGCCTCAGGGAAGGATTGCTAGGTTGCCAGTGTGGAGACTGGGGGAGAGGGATTTGATCTAGGAGGCCAGGAAATCAGTCCAGGCATGAGTGGAGGACAGTCCTTTGCAGTAGCCAAGGGTTGAAAGAAAGGGAAGATTCTGGAAGTGTGAAGAAGTTGGAATTTCCAGGACTGAATGCTGCCTGGCTGAAGGAGAAGGAGAAGTGAGGAGTCCAGCCAGACATCCCTTGGGAGCAGATGATAGAAATTTTCCCAGAAGCAGAATAAAGGGAGGGTGTAGATTTGGCAACCAGCTAGAAAAACTTGAGTTTGACTTACTCAGCACCAGACTTAGACCTGGGCAACTGGGTCCCTCTTCTTGGCCCCATACTTGTGTGGCCCCATTCTAGCCTTTTCCTGGTCACCCCATTTTCCATGAGAAAAGGCAATTAGGTGGGGAAAAGAAGACATGTATACCTGGACCCAGTGATGCCTCCTTCTGGACCTTGCTCCAGGTAATGGGGGCCTGGGAATTCCCTGCCCAAATAGCCCTGGCCTGTGGCCTATCCCTAGATCTGCCGCCTCAGGATGGGTCCATATGGCTGGTATACACACTCCTGGTCCCAAGCAGCAGCCATGTGGTGGTGTGGAGATGAAACTTGGTTGTGCAACCTGGGTTATCCCCACACAAGGCCCCTCGGAGTGTGGAATAGAATAGGGGTTTGGGAAAGCATGGCTCTCCATTTGTCTTCTGCAAATATTAGAGACCGACCTGGAGGCTCTTAAGAGTTCCGAAATCTTTTCTAGACTAGTTACAATACCAGCAACCCCACTCTACCCCACCCAGGTGGGTCTGACTCAGTTTCCAGAGTCCTTATTATCTTGGTTACCCTCTTTTGAACTGATTCTAAATTTTGCAGAAGCAGGAATCTAGATAACTGCTGCATTTATTTCACAGTCAGGGAATATGGTTTTAATTACATGAACCAAATCCCCCAAAGCACTGATGATTGTAGAGGTGACTCTCTGGTTTTGTAGGTAGGAGAGAGGGGAGCTACCTGGGTAAAGCTTTAGAGCTGCCAAGCTATAATTCAGAGGAGCAGGTGATGAACAAAGGATAGGGAGGGAGTCCAGTACCTGCATCTAAGATGATTCCAGTAAGACAAAGGTAAGGTCCATTTTGCCTGCAAGTCTGTGTTCCTAACCCAGACTCCCCTCCACTCTTCCTTTTGTCTCTTTCATGAAATCCAGTAGTTCACCCTCTGCCTTTCCCTCTGCTCCTGTTATAACACAGCGCCTTCTCCTTAGGAGCCACAGCCATCTGGATCTCTTCTCTGTGTCTGGCCACCTTGTCAACTCAACATCCTTTTAATAATCTCATCTGAAAACATATCCTTTCTCATTTGCCCCTCAATTTTTCCTCCTCCAGTGACTTCTTCCCTCCACCTCGCCCATTCTCTTTCTCTGAAGCATTATCATTATTACTTTATAGAACACTGGGGGATAGATTGCTCAGAAAATATGCACTGTAAAGTAAATGCATATGGTCATGTCTCTGAATTGCTGGGATCTAGACCAGCTGTGCGACTTCACAGGCCCAGCTGTTTACCTGTGCACAACCCAACAGCTTTTGTGATGTGGATGCTGGCTTAAAAGCTACTCCATTACTGGTCAGGAGCTTCTTGTGCAGTTAACCCTAGATCACTGAGATCAATCAGACAACAGCTCTGGTAGATGACTGGGGTCTAGCGCCCCTGGCAAGGCAAGTAGGAACACTTCTCCAGCTCAAGCAAGGAGCAGATATAAATTCCAGACCTTTGGGAGTGCTTGACATCTGTGTCCCTGTGGTGTTTCATAAGCCCTGACAGCTCCTCACCATTGTTTTGGGGACGCCAGCACCCCATTGCCTTCCCTGGAAATGAATACTCTCTCCTGCTTCAAATCTTGTCCCAGAATGAAGGAGGGGAAATGATTGCACATACCAAAAAAGGTCAGACACCTGAAAGAAAAGGGCGCACTGCACGTGTTTGCATGGCTTCCAAGAGCCCTCTGCAGCTCCTATCAATTGGCTCTTTGGTGTGCCCCTCAGGTGGGGAGAAGCCCAGGATCACTCTGTCAACAGCTCTATCTATAGCCGAATCCCCATCCTTCACCCTGGGCTCTACTTGCACAAGGCTCACTGACCTCGAGGCTCAGCTGTGAGGATCAATCATCTCCTTCCAGAATTCATCATTCAGCAGCTGTAGGCCCTCAGCTATTTTTATCACCCCAGGAAGCCGGTGGCCAAGGACACTCTGGGCTACCTTTGCAGGAGGTGTTGCTGTAGAAACGAACAGCAGGTTGTCAGGGCAGCTGAGCCTCGGCTGCAAGGTTAAATCCAAAGTGCCTGACCTGGAACAGGAGAGCACTTGATCTTCTTCCATTCTGCAGCAGTGAAAGAGCCCCAGGGGCTTATGCTGGGGAAGCAGATGTCCCATGGTGGGGACAAGGCCAGGGATACCACGGAAGGACTTAGGGTGGGAGGGGGAGGGAAACAGAGGACATGCATGTGCTCCTGCCTGCATTTCTCCTTCCTACACAAGAATTTGGAGGCTCATGACATCCAGACACCTGGCCTCAATCACCTGCACAGCCCCAGTCCTGGCTGCACTCTCTGATGGCAACCCGTCATTTGGGGGTGCTTCCTATAAGCCAGACCCCAGGATGGGATTGGGACAGAATCTGCCCTGGAGTTGTCCCATGCCTAGAGGAGAAGATCAAACAGGGTGTTACTAAACTCTGATGGTCCCAGCACCCAAGTCCTTTGCTTTGTTCCCAGTGAAAGAGCCAGCAGGGTGCAAGAGCAGGTGACACTGGAGTGCTTTATATTTGTAAAGGTTCATCTGATACCCTAAACAAGCTCCCTCAGCACAACCCTCTGAGGTAAGCAGTATTTTTAGTATGTTTAAAAATAGGCTGGACGGCTGGTTGGGCACCTGTGTGCTTTACTGCTCACCAAGTGGGAAGAGCAGACCTCATTAATAGAGTGAAGGGCAGAAGTCCCTGATTCCCTGGACATCTCTCATCTCAGAAAAGGAAAGGAGGGAGTGGTGCTCACATAAGACCTCTGGGGCCTCTAGGAAGAGGGAGAGCACACCCATGCACACACTCCTGGAGGAGCGGGCGATGGGGAAGCAATGTCCTCCAACTCCTCCAAATTCCAAGGAGGGAGAGAAATGAGTATTGGTGTGTCAGAAACCAATACCATCTTGCTGGGGAGAAGTCCCCTCCATTGAGGACTAGCTGGGGGGAGTTGCTAAGGCAGCCTAACCAAGGTGCCCTTCCTGGTGGCAGAGGTGGAATGAGAATGGCTCCAAGTCACTTCTCTAAGTGCAGGAGTTGGGGGCAGGATTTGCCTCAATCCACTGAGCCAGTGGGCTTTTGGCCTGGGAAGAGAGGTAGCAGCACCAGAGGTCCTAAGAGGTTTATCAACAGTCCCAGGGCTTGCAGTCCAGCTGGGCCAAGGACTCCTTCACAGCCCCAGGCTCTCTGTGACTGTCACTCCTGCCAGATACTCTGCTGCTCTGAAATATTTACTTCCATAGCCAATCTCAAAATTGGTGAATCATCTGAAGAATAAAGTCACTTGACACTCTTATTACAGATGAGCAAGAAAGACAATTTAGCAATTTACTATTGGATTTTAAAAACGTAACCTTGAGCTAATAATTTTGGCTTTATCAAAGCAAAGAATGCCCAACAATAGTAGAATAGTTCAATGAATACTGTGCATCTTCTTGATGAAATCCTGTGCCATTAAATATTGGATGATATGGGAAGGTGCTAACAATATAATGCTCAATTTTAAAAGGTGGAGTAAAGACTATATTGAGAGTATGATCTCAAGATTTTATATTGTAACAGTTGCTATAAATAAAAGGCCCTTGTTTAAACCAATTCCTCATAAGCCATTTACTTGCACTAGAAGGGAGGTTTTGGGGTAAATGTGCTGACAGGTGTGCAAAGCAACAGAAGAGATGATTTGGGAGGTGATGGTGGAGAGGATGGGAGGAGGGAAGCATGGAGCCAAGCAGGGGACAAGGAGCCTGGGGGTGTGAATCTGAGACCTCCCAGAAGGAGGGTCTCAGAGGAAGAAATCTCAGATAGCCTACACAGTGGGCTGTCCATAGGGCACAAGGTACCTGATATTCCATCTGAAGGTGTTACCCTAACTGTGTACGAAACCCCAACTCTGTCCCCACCTACAATTTTCAGTAAATTCCACTACATCAATAAGCATTTCACCTGAGTAGAGATTTAGGGTGGAAGCAAGGAAAGATTTTGTAACCATCTCAGTTCATGAAATATAGAACCACACAATACAATTAGCTGTAGAAATAGATGCCTCAAGGTAGGAGTAAACTTATGAGGACCTAAAATCTCCTGGAGTTTCTAGAAACATTGGGAAGGACTTCTGGAAGGCCTGGAATAGGACTGGGCCTCTTTCTGCCTGAGGGAGGCTGGGAAATAAGTCCTCACTGATATCTGGCCTAGATATCCATGTGGATATGCACATAATGTATACACACAGGATGAAAGAACAATGCTGGGTGTTTAACAGTGCTTAACTCCTGGCTAGTGGGATTGTTCTAAAAATTATTTTCCTTTGTTTTATGACTTGAACCTTCCAACTCTTGTCTAATGAACATAGATTTTATAATTTGGAAAAATATAATAAATATAAACACAAAGCCTACATCATGGACACTGACCCTTCATGTAACTGTGGTCAGTGCTGGGTACCTGGGACCCTGCCTTTTTTCCATTGCCTATTTGAGAATCTGAAAATGCTTTCCTCCCCAGCCATCAATCCTCAAATTGTTCTCAGAAAAAAAAGACAGGAAGTTGAGAGAACTTATGTTCAAGATCCTTTCTCTGGATGATGCCATCAAACTGTCCACTGACCAGCACATGGAGATCACACAAAGCCCCAGGATGGAGCTCAGAGAAATGCCAGACGATTTCCAGTCTGCAGCCGAGAGCCTTCTGCAGATCACAGTGTCAGGTCTGTGCAAACTAAATCATAACTACAGTTGTTGGAAGGACAGAAGCAACTACCATGTTCTGCTTTCTGTGCTTTCCTCAGACATCCTCTGTTTCTGCACATCTCCTAAAAACTTGCAAGTACATAACATTCTACTCTGTCTTTTGTCTTTGAATATCTTTCCTTTCCTTACAATAGAGTAGATGCGTACACTGTTGGAGTAGTTCTCTTTCTCTTCTCTTTTCTTTTATTGAAAGGAAATTCTGCACAGAATAAACAGAGAAGAAAAGTCAATTGACCCATATGCCCACTGCTCTTCTTGGGTGGGCAAGGTAAATATTGAAGTTTAATATGATAATGCCTATTCATAATCTCACACTTGGAGTCTTTTTTCCATTGCCTATTTGAGCATCTGAAAATGCTTTCCTCCCCAGCCATCAATCCTCAAACTGTTCTCAGAAAAAATAAGACAGGAAGTTGAGAAAACTTATGTTCAAGGTTCTTTCTCTGGATGATGCCATCAAACTTTCTTGATGAGCCAGTGTACGTTTGATAGCCATCTCCCTCTGCCTGTTCTATCTTTCCCAAAGGAAAAAAAAAACAAAACAAAACTCTGTGATTATAACAAATATTAGAGGAATAGACAAGAATCTCTTATTTACTTTATAAAAATATTACACATGTGATTTTATATTTTATTTCTTTATTAAATAATAAATACTTATATTTTACTTTGTATATATTTTAATAATGGGCATTTAAATAGACATTTATACATATATAAAATATATTTACATAGCATTTTATGTGATAATATGAAACAATGCTTTTTTTCAAAAGTTTAGTAATGCTTAATTCTTGTAGGCCTCAAATAAATAACCTTTGGTAGTATATAAGTAATGAAAATTTATAGAATCGGGCTTTGTTTGCATGTAAGAACTTAGCACTTTAGATTTCATAATCCCCTCTCAGCCCTTCCATTGGACCATAACTCAGAAGTTGCTTTTTTCCCTTAATGGGTACAAAACTGTAGACAGAAGAAAGGAATAAGTGCTCGTGTTCAATAGCCCAGTCAGGTAAAGATAATTAACACTGATTTTTTATATGTTACAAAATAGTTAGAAGAGAAAATGTTTAATGTTCTTACCATTAACATTGATGGATGTACTTATTATGCTTATTTGATCATTACATATTGTATACATGAATCATCACACTGTATCCCACAAAAATAATTATTATGTATCAATTTAAAAAACATTTTTCCCCCTTGGGAGATAACAATCTAGACTTCCCTTTTAAACTCGGATTCATCTTGTTTGGATGCCTAAGCAGAGCAGTGCTCGCATCTGTATAAAACAGATACTTACTCCCTGCTAGTCCTCTGAGGAGATGATTTCTATCCAGACCCTCAAGTGAATGAACAGCAGTGGAAAGACTGAGCAGTGAAAATAAAGAAGTTAGTTTGCTAACCTTTCCCTCAAATGCCTACCCTCTTATCCTGGGGCTTCCCATTGGCATTCTGAGCAGTGAGTCAGAAGAAAGGTACTGACTGAGTAATGGAGTTTGAAAGAAGAGCAAGCCATATCCCCCCAAAGGCCGGAGTACAGAAGAAAGCAAAGATGAATGAAGGTACAGGAGAAGGCTCAGAGGCTGCTTCCCGACAAGAGAACCTCCTATCACCTCCAAGGGCACTGGAGCACCAGCCACCTGAACCTTTTTGAGTGATTAAAATTGATCCCACAGAGTTACAGCAAATGTAAAGTGCTTCCATCCCCACGGGCCTGGCACATTTGACTTCCTTTCTTCTTTACTTCTAGAATCCTGTTTAGATTCAGTTTTCTCTTGGATTCAATGAAATCCCTGGCTTCTAAGAAAAAAAGTATCTCTGAGGGTTCCCTGACCCTTGTTAACTACAAAATAAGGCCCAATGGAGAGGGCCTCTTTCCTTTCTCACCCCCCTAAAATTTCAGGGTTGTTTAGAACACCATATTTTTCATTTCTAACTTAAGACTCATACCAGCACTAACCCTCTCTCCATTTTTACAGATGAGGACACCAAGGATCAGAGAGGTTAAGAAACATATTTAGGGACACACAGGTACAAGTGGCAGAGGCAGGCTGGGTTTCAGGCCTGATTCCAGAGCCTGAACTCCTTTCTACAAGGGTGAATGCCCAGTTTTGAATATTATTGGAAAAATGAAAGGGGGGGGGTACAAGAGGCAGATATGAGGGGCTGGAGGAAGTGGGAGAATGAAGTGGATATTAATTACCATAAAGGAGTATATGAATGACAAGCACCCTTCACAGCCCTGTGCCTATGCCTAGTGCTGAGGAAGCACCAAGGTATCAGACCAGTGGCCTCTCAGCCACGTTAGCAAG